AGTAATGTTATAATTTCAAGATGATCAGGTTTTGTCCCACCGGGTTTTCCTGATATACTGAAGCACCAGTACCGATGGCTACAAGATACACTTTAAGATATTCAGATTGGGCGTTATTCAAATCAGTTAAAATATGTTTAGAAATAGTCATTCAAGGGGGAGTGTTATGAATTATTTGTTATAAAATAATATATGTGAATGACTCAACACCACCTCCCCTAGCAACATCGAAATAGACTCGGCCAGACCGCACCTCGACACCCCCCACGCGCACTCCAATATAATCGAACTACGTTTTGCAAAAAAATAAAAAAATAAAAAAATAAATAAATTAATCGTGTTATGAATTATTTGTTATAAAATAATATATATGAATGACTATTTTGCCCCGATGTAATTGTATTATTACGGTTGTGCCATCAGAAATTTCCTATAAATAGGAGCTTCAGTTATAATGAAAATTGTACCTAAGAGAAATATTTTCTCTATCTCTCTCTCTTCCCTCTACTTTTATAACAAATCGAACTACGCGGAATTGTAAGATCATATTTATGCTCGGGTTTGGCCACAACAAAGTAGTAAAACTGCAAACTCAAGAACCCTAGCCACAATCGCCCCCAATTCAGCTCTCTACACCTCCCCCATTTTTTTGTTCACTAATTATTCAATTCAATTTTCACTTCTTTAATTTCAGTAAGAGCTAACGCCAATAACAAAATTTCATCACCATCATCGATCTGAATTTTAATCATATGGCCGGCGCTGGAATGCACCACTATCATCAGCCGTGGCCGCCGGCCGTCGCACCTCCTCCGGTATCGGCCGCAGCTCCACCGCCGCCGCCTCCCCATGCCCTCCCGTCTCCCATCCCCATGGACAGTCCCGCCGCTCGCGCTCACCCGGACGAGGTAACGGCACGTGATTCGTCTCTCAAGGGTTTTTGGTTTTCGCACCAATCGCTCGTTTTTCCTTTTGATTTTCCATTTTTAATTAATTTCCAAGAAGGGTAATTGCAATGATCTGCAGTTTTGGTAAATGATGATTGGTGTGTGACCTTGGCTTGTGCTTTCCCGTTTTCCAGGTGCGGACGATATTTATTTCTGGTTTGCCGGAGGATGTTAAAGAGAGGGAGCTGCAGAATCTGCTGAGGTGGCTGCAGGGATACGAGGCGTCGCAGGTGAACTTCAAAGGCGAGCATCCGATGGGCTTTGCCCTTTTCGCCACTGCACAGCTTGCTATGAATGCTAGGGATGCACTTCAGGTAATTCAGCTGCTTTTCAGCAACTCAATTTCTGCTTTTCCCCCTCTTGATTTAGATGTGTGCCTTGATTGTAATATTTGAAAGTTTGAAATCCTTTGTGGGATTTAGGGCATGGTGTTTGATGCGGACTCGAAGTCTGTCTTGCACAGTGAGATGGCGAAGAAGAATCTGTTTGTCAAAAGGGGTGAGTTGTGTTGTACAAGAGATTGCTCAAGAGCGATTGTTTGTATCACCTTTGTTTTTCGCCATCATTTACTGCTGTTGCACCCCATATCACTACCAGCCTCAGCTTTTTAACCTAATGTTTGATGTAATTATGAAATCATTATTGCGGGCTATAATATTTTACCTTGTAGAAGTTGGATTATACAGGGTATTCCATTTTTTTTTTCCGTACTAGCTACTTATATTTTATATAATTGAGATATTAGTCATATTACTACAATGACTCATTGTAAATGACATTTTTCATATGCTCAATGACCTACGGCCCATGTGATTTAACGGGCTCTGATATGCCCAGCCCTCGTTTATAACTTTTGATGCTATGCAGGGATTGTTGCTGATACAAATGCTTATGATCAGAGTAAGCGACTTCGAACAGGAGGTGATTATACACACACTGCTTATTCAACATCTCCTTTCCATCCTCCCCCACCACATTTTTGGGGACCACACGGGTGCGTTGTATATTTGAAGTGTCTGACACTTGCAAGTTGTTGCTAAAGAAATATAGTGAATAGTTTATGTTAGAGTTAGGGTTTGAGACGCTGTCAACAAAATCACTTTTTCTTTTATCATTAGTAAATGTGTTAGTTCTATTTTCAGGTATATGTCCCCTGCTCCTCCCCCTTATGATCCATATGGTGGTTACGCGGTTCCTCCTGTTCCAATGCCTGCTCCAGCTCCAGTGCCAGCACCGAGCAGTTATGTTCCTGTTCAGGTGAAACAGTTCCCATGCTATTTTTCTTGCGTTGATATTAATTTAGCCATACATCTTGCTTGTTGTTGAAGGGTGGATAAATTGCAAGTCTCTTTCTCCTTCTCTATGTATGAATAATTGAAATAAATGACGAATATAGTGATCAACCCAGAAAACGTATATTGTTGGCTGGAGTTGTCAGTGGGGCAAAAGTTAAAATTTTTGCTTTAATGCTACTTCAGCTTTACGCTACGTCACTAAGTAGGAGTTAGCTCAAACAACACAAATTGGTTTTCCATTCAGTAATGGTATTTTCGTTGGGAGAGGTGAAACATGACATTTCTTATAGTTTGAGAGTTGTAACAGATGCAAATTTCTAGTTTATTTTCTTATTGTATTTTCCTGAATTTTTTAACACTATTTATTTTTCTAGAATACCAAAGATAACCCTCCATGCAATACCCTTTTCATTGGCAATCTTGGTGAGAATATTAATGAAGAAGAGCTGCGTGGCCTTTTCAGTGCGTAAGTGTGGAGCATCTCTATTTGCTAGATTCTCATGTATTTAATTGACTGCTTCACATATGTAAGAACTCTCCTTTATTATACAATGTTTTCATGCAGCCAACCTGGATTTAAGCAGATGAAAGCATTAAGACAAGATCGACACACCGTTTGCTTTATTGAATTCGAAGTACGACTATGATTTGGCTTGAGTTTTTCCGTACATGTAATATATTATGTAATCTTTCTTGTCTGCTAAGAAATGTTGATCGAAATGCTTGTTGTATTGTGCAGGATGTGAACAGTGCCACTAATGTGCATCGCAGTTTACAGGGTGCCGTTATACCTAGTTCCGGTTCTGTTGGCATGCGCATTCAATATCCTTTATTCCTTCTATTATTTTTACATTGTCTCTGTGGTGTTCATAATTTAATTTGGGGCCCATCGTACATTTTCTAAGAATTATTAGGTACGGTTCACCATTACAAATTACATCCTCATTTATAAAAAAAAAAGAAAGAAAAAAAAGAAGATCTAGTTATCTTTTAAAATTGCAAATACCCTGTTGATAAACGCTTCACCATCACAAATTGTGCATCCTCATGAAGGGGTATCTTTAATTTTGAAGAATAAATATGATTTGTTAAATTACGATACTTGATAAGATGCCATATATGCTTCATACTTCAATGTTCATCTCTTGACTTCGAGATACATATTCAAAGAATCCATTTGGCAAGAGAAAAGACTCGAACTATTCGGCTGCTGCCCCCGGTGTGAACAATGGACTCCCTCTCCCGATGACCTACCAGTAGTTGAAAAAGAGGGATGTATGGAAAAAACTCGAGCACTTGCATGAATATGATATGCATCCGTTGCATGCCAAAAATCATCAAGGCATCTCAAACATTATAAGCATGTGTCCTCATGTTATTATATACATGTGAATGCAATTCGTGGAATACATTTTGTCAGTTCATACATTTTGTCGGGTTCATTTTATGCTTGTTATTTCTAGATATATTAAGACATGCATCAAAAGCTGTGCCGTTTTTTAGTCTATTTAATCGTGGTTCATGGACATGTCGCTCTTGATTGCATGGTTTTGTGCTGTTTGGTGTGATTAGTCGTGGTCCGAGTGTGACAAATGCATTTCTTCTCATTGACATACTTCTTCTAATCCCATTGAAGCAAAGCTGCATTTAGAAGTAATTACGATTTCAATCCGAGGGTTTGATGATGTATTTTTCTGACATTTCATGCTTATTTTACAAAGTATGCCCTCTGAGTTTGAGTGCATATAATATATATATATATATATATTTTTACAGTAAGATTAGTGATTTTGGAAGTTGATTATTTTTTCGGGCTGAATTCGAAGGTTGGGTTATATTATAAACCCTTGCATTTCGTTTGAAAAGGATAATTACTGTCGTACCGTCTTGAATTCTGGAAAAAGAAAAAAAAAATGAATGTCACAGCACAGCATTGATTATTTGATTATGGTCATCCTCATATGAGCACTTAGAGATCTTCAACATGGTGTACATAAACCATTCCAGATAGTAGAATTCGATTCGCATCATTCTTCAGTTCATCAGGCATCATTTTATGAATCTCCAGTTCCGGTTATGGAGTTTTCTAGCTGTGTAATTAAACATCAGGCATAACATCCGTTGAAAGATTTTGGAGAATCTAATGTTGTCGTGCAGGTTTTTGTAATGAGAGGATGATCGAGTTCAGGATTTCAGACACGCAATTCTTATTAAGTATAGAATTAGCAGCTTGTGGGTTTTAAACAAAAGAAAAAAAATATATATATTGAAATTGTTTAACGTTTCACTTTGTGATAACTTATTATTGAAATGATTTTAGTTCAAAGGCTCTAAATTTTCTCCTCGCGTGCCTTTTTATTGTGTTCACTCGTTAGTTTGTGTTTTCTTTTATCTTATTGTGATGGATTGTCTTATTATCACAAACTAGTACCGTTGCCCGTGCAAAATGCACGGGAGCTACGAAAAAAAATTATTAAAAGAATATTTGCAGTTCATGCAAATGCATAACGGTTAAATATTAACGAATATTTTCTTATATACAATGTTCTTCGTCTTTGTGGTACTTTTATCATCACAAATTAATATTTTCAATCATTTTCTATTTGTAACTCGTGGAACAACGACATAAAGTTGGTCATGAGTAAGTACAGATATCTTCAGGTATAACATTCATATAAATTACTCCTCAATAACTAAAATATATATATTTTTTTTATATGCATAAAATATAATTACCGATTCATGCAATAAATACAGAGTTCTTCAGGTATAACATTCATATAAATTAATCCTCAATAACTAAAATATATATTTTATGTTTTATATGCATATGATATAATCACCGATTAATAATGAGTCCTTACAAAAAGAGTTTTTAGCCAAATCGGTAAAACTTTAGGAGTTATACATAAAATTCAGGAAATTTTCATGTTGAAGTTCACCACAATATTGCCATAGTAGTTTTATATATGCTGTTATTTGGTGCTACAATTATAAAGTGCGGTTAGCAATGACTCCAAAACGTCTGAATAAAACTACATGTATATCCATGTAAAATCTTACCAACACAAATATTAGGAAATAAAATCAAACAAAATATGTATAATAACTATTTATAAACAAAAATGTCTTAAAAGAATCCCCTCGCAGTCTCGATATTTCGATTTGGAGTCGTGGAGTATCAACCCCCAGAAAACGGTATTTTAATCTTAAAAAGCAGTCATTTCGTTCATCGCATCAAATGGACTTTAATACTCCATCCTGTTTTTTATACCTTATTTACTGTGTGTAAGCAATTGTTTAAAAAAGACATAAAAGAGATGTGAATATGATGGTAAAGTAATGAATTGCGTATTAATAAACTACCACATATATATCTTACTAAATAAAAAATGCTGACATGAAAGGTAACTATTCAAGCCATTACCAATGTTACTTCCAAACATGTGTATTTTTAGTAACTTTACTTTTGTTGTTTTACTGTATTTTTAAATAAGTTCCATATGTTAGACGTGTTACTACGTTATGTTAATATTTTTTATAAAAAATAAAAATCGTATATTATTTTAAACTTTGTTAATATTTTTTTATAAAAATAAAAATGGTATATTATTTTAGACTTTGTGTAGTGTTGTTAGATATTTTAATTTATAAAGTATAAATTATGAAAATTAGATAAATAATTTAAACTAAAATCTTAAATAAAAAATCTAATAAAATTTTATAAAAATACTTGTCAAGTACAAATGTTCCTCACTTTTAATTATTTGTATTAAAAAAATCGTACACAACTGATGAACACGTATCAAATTATTAAATAATGGGTGTTGGGTAGTTATGATAAACTAAATAAATACGTCTCGTAGTTTTAATTTTTGTATTAAAAAAATGAGCCACTACTGATGAACACGTGTCAGTCATTAAATAATGGGGGTTGGTAGTTATCGATAAACTAAATATATATTATATGAGTAATGTGTGTTGGTAGTTATCAATAAACTAAATGTATCTACTATTATAAAATAGAGTTAAGAAAAATTATGTTTTTGGTAAGTTATTTTCCCTCCAATATAAATTCGAATTGTATGTGATTTATTATAGTTTTTTGATTTTTCCCGCCTAAGTGCAATTTCCGGTTTTGTATCTTTTCTGATAATAAGATTTGGTATCCTTATGCCTTTTATTTAGGCTTCTATTTAGGCTTTTTATTATATTTATTTGGTATCCGTGGTATCCTTATGCCTTTTATTTAGGCTTCTATTTAGGATTTTTATTATTTATTTGGTATCTGTATGCCTATTTAGGCTTTTATTTTTTACCTTTTGTGATAAGATTTGGTACAACACTTTTTTCACAAAATCCGGATAAAAAAAAAAAAATAACAAATACATTTCAAAAATCCTCTATAAAAGCTTTCATCCGTTTTTCACACTTGCTTCTTCACTTCTCCTCCCAAATTATCCTTCAAAACAGACACACTTGCTTAATAATAAAAAAAAAAAATGAGAGAGTGTTTGATAGGCTCCACGCGGTTACAAGGGTGAACAAGCCTTTTTTGAAATTAAAAGCAGTTTTAATTGTTGATACCGATTACGAATTAGAAACAAGGAACTTCTGTGCTATCATTTTTGAAGAGGTAATTTTGTCGATCTTATATGTATAAATTACAGTGTTACGAGTTTTAAAAATTTACTTTTTATTTTGTAGGGCCCACAAATAAGTGGGTTGATACGTTACAAACAGTTAAGCATATTCCGACATATCTTTAAAGAAGGTGACGTGTATTGTCTCGCCAACTATAGAATGAAGCCCAATAATCGGCGGGAAAGGGCAACCCAACACGATTGGAAGATTGTGTTCATGAGTATTACACGCGTGATGAAATGGAATGGAAGTTTTCCATAAATCTATATAATTTTGTAGTTTTTGATCCATAATAAATAGTCCTATTGTAATTTTTTATAATTATGCAATAATTTTATATGAGAATCCTCTTTTTTATTCCAATCCGATTGTTATCATGTTAAATTTTTACTCAAAATGTATGAATTTATTATATTCTAATTGTTGTTCATGTAATGTATATTCATTTAGATAATATTACCATATTTTTATCTTTTTAATTCGTATGTTTGGTTATTTAAAACCAATAAATTAATGTCAAATTTTAAACAATATAAATTAAAATTATTTTTAAATAAACCAAATTAATATTAAATTTTAAACAAAATAAATTAAAAAGAATTATAAACAATTTCACTTAATGTGGATTCTTAAAAATAGTATTCGAATACATATCTAACTTAAAAAATTTGATGCAATATCATGTTATACAATCTCAATTAATATGGAATTTTAACAATCTTATTGATCACAGATTCCAATTTTTTTTCCTAATTATCCGATTTTTTCCTTATTTGGAAAACATATATTTAAATTTGATTTAACAATTCCACTTACTGTGTAATCTTTATAATTCCGATTTTCACTCCTTATTTAAAAATTTGATGCAAAATTATCTTACAGATAAGTACTAATTATGATAACCATGATTTAAGATAACTATTAATTGAAATTCGCACGTTTTTTATTTAATAAACAATAATTTTGTTAGAGATAACTATTCCAATCACCTAAAGTCAACACACACGTTTTTTATTTAAAATATGTTAAATTTTTATTCAAAATATGGATTTATTCTATTCTAATTGTTCTTCATGTAATGTATATTCATCTAAATGATTTAGATAATATTACCATATTTTTTCCCTTTTAATTCGTATATTACCATATTTTTACCCTAATTATCCGATTTTTTTTCCTTAACTGAAATTGGCACGTTTTTTATTCAATAAACAATATTTTTGTTATAGATAACTATTCAAGTCAACACACAGGTTTTTA